TCCTTTAAAGAACATAAGAGATAGCCTACTGCAGAACCACCTAATTTCTAAACATACTTTTGGGAAAAAAAAGGTAAACTTGGACTGTTTTTCTTAAGTTAATATTTACTGAAATTGTAGTGACATTAACTATAGTTACCAGAAACCCCACTGTGAGACTGAAAAAGTGTTTAGTAGTAAAGTATGAAAAAGTTCAAAGTATGTTCATTTGTGCTTTTTTTCCATATTCTGCGTGCTGGGATTGTGTAGACACGAGCTACAGTGTCCTGCGTGCTGGGATTGTGTAGACATGAACTGCAGTGTCCTGCGTGCTGGGATTGTGTAGACACGAGCTACAGTGTCCTGCGTGCTGAGATTGTGTAGACACGAGCTACAGTGTCCTGCATGCTGGGATTGTGTAGACACAAGCTGCAGTGTCCTGAGACACTGATTATGTCTGATTATGCATCCCTGGGTGGCCTGGAACTTACTATATACTTCATGACTGAGTTCAGACTGGCTTTGAACTCATAGAGATCCACCTATTCCTGCCTCTTGAGGCCTGGGATCAAAGGTGTGTGCCATCAAACTCAGCTGTTTTCTCACTTTTATAGGGGCTACCAAAAGTTATTCTGTTAGCCTTGGTGGTGAAGAAATGTCTATGCAGAGCTGTTTGGTTTTCTTTTGACTGTTCTTCCTCTGGTGTTTGCAGGCAAGTGTACCTTCAGGGCTTAATGTACTGTAATGTCTGGTTTTGGGTTGATCAGTTGAGATTTCCTGTTGGGAGGAACAGAAAGTAGAAGGAAAGAAAATGTGTATGTGCTTGGCAAATTGAAGAAAAGTAAAGCACCATAAAATATTTTTACTGGGGGCTGCAGAGATGGCTCAGCCATTAAAAGTGCTTGCTGCTCTTGGAGAGAACTTGAATTCCTAGTAGGCACCTCAGGCAGTTCCTCACCGCTCTGCTCTAGGGGATTTGATGCCCTCTTCTGGCCTCCTAGGTTGCATAGATCATACACTCACACGGATAGACAAACATACACATCAGTAAAAATTTAAAAACAAGTCTTAAAAACAAAATGTTTTGTTCATGGTAGTGTCCAGGAGGAAATAAAAACTATAGTGAAATTCTTTCTGTAACGATATGTTACGTTTCTTATTTATTTATTTGTTTGTTTGTTTGTTTGTTTGTGTGTATTGATTTGTCTGCAGTCTTTCTGTATGATAAGCTCCACGAGGACAGTGGCTGGAGTGCTGTGGTTTTACTGTGTTTGTCTCTATGCCTGCTCTACTCATAGTAGGGGCTATTCCAAAATATTCAGTGAGTGCTTATTGATTTAACAGATATTCATAGTGTGCCTATATGTGCCAATGACTGGAGTCCACACTGGAGGCTCTAGAATGAGAACCAGCAATATGCCTTGCCTTTCATTTTCCCCCTTGTTAGTACCAGGGAGGGCGGTTATATATAGAGATGAACTGGAAAGCATCTAAGAGAGCAGCCAAGTGGTGCCTGTGAAATCAGTAATTGTTATACTGTTTGTTTTTCAGTCCTCAAACAAAATGAAAAGGTCTAATGCCAAGAAATGGTAATCATTTACCATCTCTGCTGTCCTCACAGGCGAGAACTAACAGTGGAGTTTGGAGTGGGTCAAAGCCTTGCCGTAGAGTAAGGATGGCGGTCAAAGCATGTCAAGAGAACTTTAATTTATCTGTAATGTTTAAACATTCTTACAAAAAAAAGGAGGGGTATATTGGAGCTGGAGATATGGTTTAGTAGTTAAAAGCACTTGTTGCCCTTGTAGAGGACTTAGGTTTATTTCCCAAGACTTACAAGGCGGCTCACAGTCATTCCTAACTCCGGTCTTAGAGGTTCTGTTTCTCTTCCCTGTGTCCTGTGGTGTGACTGTGTTTTCAGTTTGCTGGAGAATGGCTCACCACTCATTTGTGTTTCATTCCCTCTCATTCTGGCTGATTGAGGTATTTCTGTTGTTCTAGGAACTGCAACTCGACCATGCATCTTTAAGAATGTGCTCCCAACTGTCACTCCCTCTTCTTTTCTCTGCCTCATTTCTACTTTCCCTCTTATCGTTAACCAATCACATTAACTTCTGGCACAGTTCTCCTCTTGTGTTTGTATAAATGAATCTACACATATATAAGATCTTATCACACCTTCCTTCCCTTTCCGTTTCTTGTTTTGTTTTTCAAAACAGGTTTCTCTGTGTAGCCTCCATTGTTCTGGAACTCAACGAGGCTGGCCTCTAACTCATATCCGCCTGCCTCTGCCTCCCAAGTGGTGGGATTAAAGGCCACAGCCGCCCAATCACACTTTCCTTCTTATATTGAGGGTAGAGCAGCATAGGTTCAATATCTTCTTTTCTTTCTGGAGAGGTCTGCTCCATCCCCAGTAGATACCTGAAATAGCAGGGAGTTCCACTATTCTATTCTGTGCAGTCAGGTGCTGTTGATAGCAACATTTTGGTCGACAGAATGATGCCACAGTGGTCCAGTAAGAGCGTGATCTCTTGATATCATAGCTGTCTTAGTTTGGATGTATATCCCATAATGTTCTCACAGTGATGAAATCACCTAACATCATACTTCTTAGAATGTATCCCCGTCATAAACAGTTCATGGCTGTACTATAATTTTCCTAATTGTACATACCTTGATATGGTTTAATTTGCAAATTAGGCTTAATAAGAGATTAAAAGCAAAGAGATGAAGTGAGATGAATGACATTAGGATGCTCTGTGGGGCTGCTTGGACAGTGCTGTGATACTGCAGCCGTCAGTCTGATAGCCTGGCTGGGTATACATGGGCGGGTAATGTATACAGCATGGGCACACTGGACAAAGTGCAAAGTCCTGCGATGTCATTACACTGTTCAGAAGGGCATGCAATTTATTTACTTCTTTTTGAAGTGCTAGGGATTGAACCTGGGATCTTGTACTTGCTGGGCAAGTGCTCTATCACCGAGCTACTTTCCAGTCTCTTCCTACCTTTTATTTAAAATTTATTTATTATTGGTGTGTGTGCGTGTGTGCATGCATGTGTGAAAATTAGAGGACAACATTCAAGGATCAGTTCCTTCTTTCATCGTGGAGTCTAGAAATCAAACAGGCTGTCCAGCAAGATTTATATTATTTTTATTTTATATGTGTGTCTTGCATGCATGTGTGTCTGTTCACTATATGAACACAGCAGAGGGTTTGGGTCACTTGAAACTGGAGTTGTGGACAGTCATCAGCTGCCATGCAGGTGTTGGGAGCTGGGTTTTTAACAGCTGAGCCCTCTCTCCAGTACTCCTGTCCCTACTTTTTATTTTGATATGAGTCTTTTGCTCAGACTCTTATATCAATCCTCCTGCCTCAGCCTTCTGAGCAGCTGGAATTACAGATCACCACCATGCCCTCCTTGATGACCTAGAGTTGAAAAATTTTTAATTGTTTATTTCTGAAATTTTCTGTTTGGTGCTTTTAGACTAGAGCTGACCACAAGTGACTGAAGGTGTAGAAAGGAAACTCACTGCTGAGGAGGAATTGTCAGGCTTCTTTGTGTTTAATTTAGTAAAATGTATCTTAGATTATCATAATGCAATATGGATTTATTTTTTTCTTTTTTCTTTTTTGGTTTTTCAAGACGGGTTTCTCTGTAGCTTTGGCACCTGTCCTGGAACCTGCTCTATAGACCAGGCTGGCTTTGAACTCACAGAGATCTATCTGCCTCTGCCTCCCAAGTTCTGACATTAAAGGCGTGCACCACCACTGCCTGGCTGCAATATGTGTTTCTTAATGACTGGGATATGTTCTGTAAGCAGGTTGTGAAGCAACCCATCATTGCAGGATCTCTTTAGGACATCATTAGGACACGAACCTCTTGATATAGCATAGCCTCCTGATTGGGTCCAGAACTGTGATAAATATGACATAAGTATGACATAAGAGGCCTCTGCCAGTGTTATTTTGATGAGATGTTCTATAGAAAACTTAAAAACAATTTTGGTTTGTTTTTGTTGTGGTTTTCAGGTTATTTGATGTGTGTAGGTGTTTTGCTTGCCCATATGTGTATACACTAGATACACGCCTGTGGAGGTCAGAAGGGGTATCAGATCCTCTGGAACTAGAGTTACAGATACTTGTAAGCTGCCCTGTGAGTGCTGGGAACTGAACCTAGGTTCCCTGCAAGAGAAGCAAGTGTGAGAATAAAATTAAAATGATGGTCGGCTGGGGATGCAGCTCAGTCAGTATGTGCCTAATGTACAGAGCCCTGGACTCGGTCCTCAGCACCATCCCCTAGAGCAAGTCCTCCATGATAAACCAATGACAAATATAGCACATTGTATATATCGGGTAAGTCCTGTGTTCTGTCTGTAATTGTATACTGTACTTTATACCACTGACAGCACAGTAAGTTTGCTTATGCCAGAATTCCTCATCACTGCAAACATGACGTAGATCAAATCAAAATGAACGACACATTGAGCCGTTCCATCATGTCGCTATGCAGTTGGAGTTCCAGTCCGTTCCAGCTGTGCAGTTGGAGTTTCCCAGTTCAATTATAATTTTACGGAACCATGTCATTGGATGCATCTCATAGTGAGGCACATGACTGCACAGCTACGTTACATAATAGTGAGGCACGTGACTGCACAGCTACATTATATACGTTAGTAACATACTTTTCATCTAATACATGCAGGAAGCATGTCTTATCATGGAATACTTCGATGTTTCTCAGGCATTATACATTACTTTTTCAGCTAGGCTGTGTCAGTTGGTATCCTACCAGCACTGCTTGTACAAAAGAGTTCTTCTAAGATTCTTGCTTCCCCGTGGCCTCGCCACAAGAGTGGGCTGTGTGACGCACATTTCTCTGAGAGGGACTGGACATCTTCTGTTGAAGGGACTTTGTGTCTTCATTGTGTGTTTTACGTTTTGTTTCCGTTAGGTCATTTACTGCCAGGCCAACAGCACTCTGAGTTCCATCCATTCATTAGATTTTTTTTTTTCTTTCAGATCTTCCATGGTGGCTTATTCTAATTCGGCAGAAAGCACTGGTGGGCAAACTCCCAGGAGACCATGAGGTCTGTAAAGTCACCAAAATTGCTGTATTGTCACTTTCTGAAATGGAGCCGCAGGAGCTTGAACTGGAGGTAAGCTGGCATCAAAGGACTGTTGCAGAGATGATAGACGTGATGGCAGATTTGAGGATCTGGTTCAGTCAACTCTGGATGTTGTTAAAATAATTTATGTAGTCTTTGAACCTTGTGTTAGTAGCAGGCTCCATCAGAACCCATGCACTGCAACACGTAAGACAGAAGCAGAGCTGCTTTGGTTGAGGTGGTGTTGAGTGTTGAGGGAAAGATATCTTCAAATAACATGAAAATGAAGCTTCCATCACATGTCATGATTGGCTTCTGCCTGTGTGTGTGTGTGAGTGTGTGCATCTGTGTGCTCATGGAGGTGCTGTGTGTGCACATGTGGAAGACAGGTCAACATCATGTATGTTCCTTTAGCACTTTCTTTTTGTTTAGTTTTTTTTTTTTCTTTTTGGTAGGGTGTAGAGGGTTTGAGACAGGGTCTCAATATGTAGCCCTGGCTGTCCTGGAATTCCCTGTATAGACCAGGCTGGCCTTGAAATCACAGAGAGCCTCCTGCCTCTGCCTCCTGAGTGCTGGGATTAAAGGTATGCACCACCCTGATCAGTTTAGCACTTGTTTTCCTGAGATAGTCTTTCATTGAACCTGGTGCTCACAGGTTGGCTAGACTGTTTTCTGGCGAGTACATCTGCCTTTTCTACCAACCAGTGGTGGGGTTGCAGGCATAGACCTCCATGCCTGGCTTCCTACTTGGGTGCTAGGTACCCAAGTCCAGGTCCAGGACTTACGTGCCAGGTACTTTACTCACTGAGCCATCTCCCCACATAACTGGATAGTATTCGAATGATCGGGCTGCTCGAACTATAGTGCTTATTAGGGTCACCAAAGATTATGGTTCAAGTTAGCAATGGAATATATGTTATGACTTGTGCTAGTTAGGGTGAAGGGTAAGACTTCTCTGTTGCTGTCTTAAAACACCAAGACCAAGGCAACTTATAGAAGAAAGAGTTTATTTGGTTCCAGAGGAATAAGAGTGTTTCATGGCAATGAGCACAAACTTTGTTAGCCTGAACAGAAGCTAAGAGCTCACATCTTAAACTGTATCATGAAAGAGAGAGGGTGAACTAGGAATGTCATGGATTTGAAACATCAAAGTCTGTCCCCAGTGCTGTTCTCCAGCAAGGTCAAATCTCCCAAACCTTCCCCAAACAGCGCCACCAACTGGGGATCAAGTATCAACTGTGAGAGCTTATTGGGGATGTTTTCATTTAAACCACTGCGGTAAGCAGAGAAAGTATTTCCGTACCGTGGGTGAATATTTTAGAAATTATTATTCTTATGCTTTTCTCCCGTTACTTTAAACCCATACCACAGCATAGGACCTTCCCAACTGTGAAGCAAGGAGAGCTATCCTGATAATCATAAAATTTCTTCTAGCATAGCCATTTAAATCTGTCATCTCCTCCTTTCTGTTCATATAAACTGCAGTAAAAGGAACTATTAAAACCAGGAATGGTGGTATGTGCTGTGGAGGCAGGACTAGAAATTCAAGATTGTCCTCAGCTCATGTGAGCTTGAGACGAGGCTGGGCTCCGCAGATGCTGCCTCAAATTTTTAAGTTAAATGAGCAAAAGAAGCTTTTAGAAGCTTAATTTTTTTGTTTGATTATAAAGGAGAAGGAAAAATACTTAGAAATATTAATGGCTAGGAACCGGAGGGATGGCTTCTGCTGCTCTTCTAGAGGACCTGAGTTCAGTGCCCAGCATCCCTGTCAGATGGCTCACAAGTGCCTCTGACGCCAACTCCAGAGAATCCAATGGGTTCTGTGACACCAGCACACACACACAGGAATAAAATACATCTCCAAACAGAAATAATCCTAATGGTGATTCAGCTGGAGTGTCAGTGTGTTCTTGCACCTGGCTGCATTCCCCGTAGGGGTTTTCAGAAGCTTCCTGTCTTGTAAGTGTTCCCCCGACTCCTACTGTCTTCTGTGGGCATCCATATAAACAAGTGCCTGTCAGGTGAAGCTGGCTCGTGTCTCCTGCAGCATCCTTTCTGTTTACTGCTCTGCATGGCCCACGGCTGTCATCCTTTGCAGCAGAGGCCTCCAGCTGTGTAGTGGGTCAGCTTCCTCAGATTTGCTGAGGCCGGTTTGTCCACTGTAACTGGGGCAGAAGCAGTTTTCTTGCAGATTCTAATATTAGAATTGATAGTTTCTGCCTCAGTTGTGTTTCGCTGAGGCAGCTGTGGCTTCTTTGCCTGCCGCTTCACTTGTAGCACTCACTCATCAGTACCTTACGCCTTATTACCGTCAGGCGATAATGCATTGGATGAGTGTGCGTTTGCGTTTAACTCTCCATCAGCTGAAGAACATTTGCGCTCTTTCCATTCATAGGCTACTAGAAATAATGCTGTTGTAAATCTTTGTACCATGCAAGGTTTGGTATGCATAGGTTTTCATTTCCCTGAGTATAGGGATCCTGGGTCAGCTTGGTAATTCTGCTTACCTCTTTTAGGAATTGCCACACTATTTTCTAATGTAGAGTATCATTTAATATATATCTATATATATGCATATATATATGTATATGCATATGTGTATGGCTATGGGTGGAATTTCAGGGCCCAAACAAACGAGAAGAAATGCACTATGCATCTTGAGAACATACCCTTAAAGCATCAAAGGCTTCGGCTCCATGCCTGCATGTCTTGTGCCATATCCCATTGCTTGCTGTAATCGAGAGGAGCATCTTTTTCCGTGCTTAGTTTCCTATCAGAAAGCTGTTTAAAGTTTTATCTCAGGATGGATATAGATAACAAATTTGAAAGTAAAACCGTTTGTTTTCCTTCGGCAACATCAGCTTTTAATCTTGGTTGTGAAATATAAATTGCAAGAAGAATAAAAAATGAGGGAGTTTATTAGTGGGTGGTTTTTCTTTTTAATCAAAATTGTAATAAGGGCGCATCATCCCCTTTAGAGGACTCCTGGACCTCTGGAAAAGGGGAGATGATCCTACTGCCAGCATCTACTGCCAGTGCTATGGATTTCCCGGGCTGTGTCCAAACAAACATTTTATGATTGGAAAGGTTCCTAAGAAATAATTTTCTCTTATCATTGTTTTCTGATAACACTGATTTTTAACCCTTTTGAAAGATAGTGGTCTATACTTGTCTTTTCTAACAGTAATTTTATAGCATATTCATTGAAATGCCTTTTGGTTAGGGGGTTCATTGAGTTTATGCTTTGTTACATATATCTGTAATTCTTATCTGAATTCGGTGAAGACATATTTGTTTTACAGTTCAGTTTCTGTTTACTTTTGTGTGCACACTTGCATGTGATTCCAAAGGAATCTTAGAAAAAAGGGTGCATTAGTTAGCCAGGAGTGGTGTGCATGCCTTTAATCCCAGCACCTGAGAGCAGAGGCAGGTGGATTTCTGTGAGTTCACGTCCAGCTTAATCTATCTAGCAAGTTCCAGGCCATCCAGGGGCTACATAGTGAGTCAGTCAGCCTGTCCGTCTGTCACCCCACCCCCAGAATGCATGCAGATGCGTGTACGTACACACCCACCCACACACCCACCCACCCACCCACCCACAACTCCTCACATACACATGGTATAGTAGTTGTCTTTCTATTGCTGGGATGAAATACCATAACCCAAAGCAAATTTATAAAGGTCTTCTGTTGGCCGTGCTCCAGAGGACATAGTCCATCATGTTGGGGAGGGTGTGGCAACAGCAGGTAAGGATTTCAGTTGGATCATGCAAGCCAACTGCTTGTGTTTTCATCCTCCCTCACCCAGGAGAGTGGGGAGGGAAGAAGAAGGAAAGAGAGCAGGAATGGGGCAAGGCTCCAAAACCTCAAAGCCTGCCCCCAGCGATGCACTTTATCCATTAGCCTTCACCTCCCAAATAGTGATCTTATGGAGGGCATTTGTCACTCAAACTACATCAGAAAGTTTCTTTCATGTATTATCTATGCCCCAACTGAATCTAAAACTGTATCCCATGATACAAGACATTAATAATTCCTAAAGAAACATGAGTATTTATGCTAAATACTCATAAATAAGTATTTATGCTAAATAGTAAATGATGAATGCCATGTATTCTCAGGGCATAGTTTATAAATGCACATTATTTTAATTAAAAGTTTTTATGTATGTGGTTATTTTGCCTGTATGTATGTCTACGTTCTATATGTGTGTCTGGTGCCCTTGGAGACCAGAAGAGGGTGTTGGTCCCCTGAGACTGGAGTTCCCAACAGTCATGTGGGTACTGGGAATGGAACCTGTGTCCTTTGGAAGTGCTCTTAACTGCTGAACCATCTCTCCAACCCTTATTAAATGAATTTTTAATAAAGTTTAAAAATATATGCTCAGTTCTCAGAGTTCTTGGACTTTCTGATAAGAAGCTAAGGGATAGTAGGCCCAAATGAAGGCTCCTCCAAACTGAGGTAAAGCAGATGAAGAAAATAAAAACAAAGACAGTTGTCTTAGCTATTGTTCTGTTGACGTGTGGGTCACCATGACCAAGGCAGCTTATAGAATAAAACATTTAATTGGCTCCCACCAGCCTTCCTTTGTTGAAACTGTCTGTCCCCTGTTCTTGTCTCAACACATCTATATTCATGTTCCCTCCTCTTACCTTTGCCAGTTGGATTGAACTTTTTTTATGACCCCTAATTACTGCTCTTTAAATTTAACTAATCTCTGGACCCAAATCATGTTATTTGCTGATTTCCTTACTGTGTGTAAAGATAGGAAGAGAGAATTTTGAAAGGTCCAGCTTTTAACATTCCCTGTAGAGCTGACATAGAGCTTTTTTTTTTTAACCAAAACACTCAGGTAATTAACATAAATGAATATTTAACGCGGATGTTTGTAATGACCTTGATTGACATTTTGATGACATTGAATGACATTACAAAATGACATTTTGTAATGTTTTGTTCTTAGATGCCAGTTTTCAAAGTACTAATAACCTCAATCAGAACATTGCATCCTTTGGACATGTTGGATAAGCATGTGCTGAACCTGGGTTTGTTGCCTTTAGTGCTAAGTCCATCCTTACCTGTAATATTATGTTTTATTTGTGGTATGGCTCCTAGTTACTGGAACCGTAGCTGTGTTCTACCTGCCTAGTCGTCTCATTCACTCTCGGAGTCACTTTTAACCCATATGTGAGCAGTAGCGTTCACTCTGGACAGCTAGAGTCGATGATAATTAATAATGATTCATCCTTTTGAAAACTTCCTTAGCTCTGTAAGAAGCATCATTTTGGAATTAACAAGCCGGAGAAGATTATACCATCTCCTGATGACTCCAAGTTTCTACTGAAGACATTGACACACATCAAATCCAACGTGTCTGCTCCTAACAAAAAAAAAGTAAGAATTTGACTGGCATGGGCTTTAAATCCATCTTTGATTAGTTGTAAGTTGAGGGTAGCTAGATGAATCTGGAAGCTTTCTGTTTTTAATCAGAAGAGTGTCGAGCTTGGGGGCTGTCCTTACTTGAAGGCTTGCATTATCTGTAATCTTTCCATCTGACTCCGGTACTTACAGACTGACTTCTTACAGGTTAAGGAAAGTAAAGAGAAGGAGAAGTTGGAGAGGCGGTTACTTGAGGAGCTGCTGAAGATGTTCATGGACTCAGAGTCTTTCTATTATAGCTTGACCTATGACCTGACCAACTCTGTGCAGAGGCAGAGCACCGGGGAGAGCGATGGCCGTCCCCTCTGGAAGAAGGTACAGCGCAGACAGTGTTGGCTCCTGGATCTCTGCCTGTTTGCCTCTTGTAGGAAACTGAAGTCATGTGTGCTGAGCTGATTCTTCCCTTCCGCTTCTTCTAGGTTGATGACCGATTCTTTTGGAATAAGTACATGATCCAAGATCTCACTGAGATTGGTGTGAGTAGATGCTTCTAGAATCCCCTGTTAGTTGCTGCTGTTAAGCAAATGTCCCTATATCAAGATGGATTTTGAAATCTTATTAGGGTGTTTCCACCCACTGAAGAGGAGCATTTATCAAGAGAAAAGTGAGGACACTGCTTTCAGGCATGTTCCAGTGGCACCGCCCCTGCAGACAGCCTGGCCGGCAGGTGTCACACGCCTGTAATCCCAGCACTTGGGAGGCTGACGCGAGAGGCTTGGCCCAACTCCATACTAGGCTACACAGCCAGAAAAAGAGGGCTCCAGAAAAAGAGGGTGGGGGAGTAATAAGCCCAGGAACCCAAAAATATCTTCCTGAAAAGATGCGTGTTTGTTTGTTTGTGTTTACATCCATTGGGAATTCAGAGTCCTGCTTTTCCGTAGTGATACCACTCTGGTTTATCTTCTGGTCGTGGAGTCGATGGATCTTTAAGGCCCGACCAGGACTCCCAGGTTTTTATCGTGAGAGGTATTTGGGGAAACCACAGGATATGGTGAGATGATTGCATGGAGCTCTCTCCGGTTTGTTTATATTTGTTTACATATTTTATTGGTTTGTGCATGTGTGCACTCACACACTTGCCACGACATGTGTGGAGGTCAGAGAGCAGCTATCTGGAGCTGGGCCTCTCTCTTCACTGTGGGACCCTAGAATTGAACTCAGGTCCTTGGACTTGCTTGGTAGTGTTTCACCCTCTGGGCCACCTTGCCTGTTCTCTTTCTGATTCAATGGCTCCTTTCTTTGTTTCCTTTGTGCAGAAATACTGGAGTACAGTTAGTTTTAGTTGCTGTGAGAAGGATGTATGAGATGGGCAGACTAAAGGGAATCAGGGTTGATTCTGACGATGATTTCAGAGTTCAGTTCCGTGCACCGCGCCCCTGTGTCTGCGCTCTGTGTGCTGGCACCAAGTGTGCGAGCTTCGGGCAAGGGGCTGGAGGTTAAAATACACAGACACACACACAGACAGAGAGACAACGACATGAATCATCCTTGAATTCCCCAAGAATGCCCCCTTTATTGTGTTCAGGGGCAGATTATATAGAGATAGCTACTCCCCAGCCAAACCCATCAAAAACCACTCTCCTGCCATCAGGAACTCCTGAAGGGCTCGTGCTCAGAGCTCTAGACAAAAGCAATGGAGCATGGTCCTCTGTTGTTTCTTCTTAGCCTTTCAGTTATTTTCTTTCTTCCCATTTTATTCCTCACTGTTGATTCCTAACAGTTACTGACATTTTATGCAGTAGCATCTCTAGACAGATGCCTAGCATGTCTCTACTGAGGTTGAGGCATGGGTTGTTCTTAGCGCTCTGATACAGTGTTGGTAATGAGTGTTTGTCTCTATGCAGGCAGTGTGGAATTCCAGTGTTTGGAGAGCTTTTGCCAGACATTCGCATGTTATTGTTTAAAGCTCGTGACTAGGATAAAGGTGACAGTTGGCAACATATGTTTCTATGTTCCCGTCAAGGATCTTGGATTTATTGCTAGAGCAAACGTACAAGTAGTGAGGATGGTGGTGAAAATGATGAATGCAGGCCAGTCCCTCACCTCATTGCTTCCCCTAACCTTCTGAAGAGCCAATAGAGACCACAAAGCAGAATGAAGCTGTGACACACAGCCCCCGAAGAGCGTAGTGGCAGAAGGAAAGGGAGGTTTGAAACTGATGCTGCAAAGTGAGTATGGTGGAGCATGTCTGTAATCCCAGCACTCTGGAAGCTGAGACAGGAGGACTTTGAGTCCAGTTCAATTTGGGCTACACAGGGAGACCCTATCTCAAAACAAACAATTTTTTGAATATTCATTTTATTTCATTATTATTATTATTTATTTATTTATTTTTGGGTTTTTCGAGACAGGGTTTCTCTGTGGCTTTGGAGCCTGTCCTGGAACTAGCTCTGTAGACCAGGCTGGTCTCGAACTCACAGAGATCCGCCTGCCTCTGCCTCCCGAGTGCTGGGATTAAAGGCATGCGCCACCACCGCCCGGCTATTTCATTATTATTTTGACATTTTGTGTGTGTGTGTGTTCTTGAATATACTTGAGTGGAGGTCAGAATACAACCTCAGATGTCATTTCTCAGGCACCTGGTTTATTTAGAAACTCTCACTGGTCTGGAGTGCAGCAAGTAGGCCCAGGCTAGCTGACCAGTGAGCCCCAGGGAGCCACTTTCTCCACCTCCCCAGTGCTAGGATTCCAAGGATGTACCCCATGCCTGGCTTACCTTAGCCAGAGGCTCTTTACTGACTGTCTCCTGGGTCTTACTCTTGTGTTCCTGAGACGGATCTCGTGTAGCCCAGACTGGCTTCAAACCTAACATGTAGTGAGAATGGCCCTGAACTTCTGATCGCGTCTGCCGTTTAAAATCGGAGTGCATTTAGTTCGAAAGACACAGGAGAAGGAAGCTCTGACTTTGAACAGAGCCCTCCTAGTTCTGTTAGAGGACATTTCAAGTGAGACATTTATGGAAATGCTTTTTATCGTTCATTTCCTGTTGGAATGTTCAGCTGGTGGCACTCGTGCTTCTCCGCAGCAGGATGTGAAATAGAGCTGGGGCCGAGGGAGAGCCGGCTGTGGAGCTTCATCTCACGTGTGCATGAGGCTCTGGGTTTGATCCCAGCACCACAAATGACAACGAGAAAACTGAGCGTGGTAGCACATGCCTGCCATCCCAGTGCTTGGGAGCCCGAGGCAAGGGAATCTCCTAAGGTTCCAAGCCTGACTGAGCTGCAGAGAGAAGCCCCCTCACAAACAAAAGATGCAGGGGTCTGGAGAGATGGCTCAGTGGTTAAAAGCACTGCGTGCTCTTGAAGAGGGTCTGGCTACGGTTCCCAGCACCTGCTAGATGGCTCATCATCCCCTGTAACTCCAGTTACTGGGGATCTGACACCCTCTTTGGGCCTTTGCAGGTGGTATATAAACCCTGTGCACATACAGACAAACAGGCATATACACATGAAAATAAACAAGTAGGTTTTTTTTTTATTTTTTTAAAACCAACTGTGTGCTTTGTAATGAAATGGTCAGGATTGGTTCCATTTTGGTATAGGAAGCAAGGGAGGATCAGACATCAACTTAAATGCTTTGCTTTCCTCGACTAAGAGCTGCATTTGTTGACTGCTCTAGGAAGACCCTGTGCCTTATTTACATGCACTGTTCATTATTCACAACAGCCCTAGGAGGCATTAGTAGTCCCATTTCACAGAGGAAGACACTGAGGCCTAGTGAGGTGAGCGAGAGTCTGTCAGTGAGTTTGTGGGTGGTGGAGCTTGAACTTGTACGGAACAGTCTGGCACCTGTGCTGTGTTCCCTGTCAATCAGCTCTTAGGAAAATTGTTGTAAAGAGAAGGGAAGGCCCTTTGGCTCTCACCCTAGTGTTCAGTTATGCTTGTAGCAAGCTGAGGGCAGTAGGTGTTGACTGTCACTTGGGTTTGAGCATGTAGCAGTGTTGTGTGGAATATGAACAACATGCCATTTATTTCCATTCTAGACTCCGGATGTGGACTTTTGGATCATCCCCATTATCCAGGGTTTTGTGCAGATTGAAGAACTTGTGGTTAATTACAGCGAGTCATCCGATGACGAGAAGAGCAGCCCAGAGACCCCCCTTCAGGAGCCCACCTGTGTGGATGACGTCCACCCACGGTTTCTGGTGGCGCTCATATCTCGCAGGAGTCGGCACAGAGCCGGTGAGTGGGGGGGGGGGGGCTGCTGTAAGACACACAGATCACACGCAGAGGAGCTGTGCTGAGTGCCAATAACAATCTTGGTCTTGCAAGCACAGTGAGCTCCAAACTCCAAATGCCGTGATGCAATTACAGCCTGGTTTCTGCAGTCGAGGGGCGGGAAGAGTTAGTAAAGCAGACAGAATGGCGGCTGCATGCAGAAGATAAGAAAGTCACTTGGTGTGTCTGAGTACAGGGCTCCAGCTGAAAGCCTGTGCCACAGTGATAAAGCCTTCCAGGACTAACCCCTTTGGGAAAACCATTGCCTTTCATCCAAAGAGTTCAGCTCAACACTGATGGGCACAGTTGTGGTCTTGTGTATGTTGTTGTTTACCTGCCAGCTGTGTCTAGGCTTTCCTGTAGACGGTCAGTTAGGAAGCCTAATCTAGTGAGACTAAGTGCAGGGGTTGGTTTGGTTTGGTTTTGAGAGTTTTTCTATATAGTCTAGGCTGGCCTCGAGCTTGCAGTTCTCTTGCCTCAGCCTCCAGAGCACTGAACTATCAAGCGTGCGCCGCAGCTTGGCACCAAACCAAGTTAAACACATTTTTATAACTGTTGCTGCTTTCTGTTTAATTTTCCTTCAGGAATGCGCTATAAACGAAGAGGAGTGGATAAAAATGGAAATGTTGCAAATTATGTGGAGACTGAGCAGTTAATTCATGTTCATAACCATACTCTGTCATTCATTCAAACTCGAGGCTCTGTGCCGGTCTTTTGGAGCCAGGTTGGGTATCGCTATAATCCAAGACCTCGACTGGACAAAAGTAAGCATACCAATTATTTGGTTTGCAAATAAAGGTTTCTATGAGAATTTTTTTTTTTTGATTTTTTGAGACAGGGTTTCTTCTTCTATGAGAATTTTTAAAATAAAAATTGGGTGCCAGATTTTTTTAGGTTTGAATTTGTTTCATTTCAAAACCATAATTCCCAGGGCTGGGGTACACAGCTGAGGTATGGTTTCCTGACCAGCCTGCTGGAGGCCCTGTTCAATACCCGATGCTAAAACCAACAGCAACAAAAGCCACACCTCTCACTGTGACATTGTGTCCTCCCAGGTGACAGAGGTGAGTCGGTAGATACTGGACTGAGTCCTTACTGCATGTTGCAGTTTCTCTGGCTCTGCAGGAAAGCTCCTCACTTCCCATTCTGACCTGCTGTTGCCTTGCTGCTTATCCTCCCGCACAGTTAGCTTCGGAAGGATGATTGTAGCCAGTGTCTGCAGAAGTGGGGCCTGTGCTCGCCAAAGGGCAGTATGTAGGAAGTCAGTGAGAGAGGTGCCTTGTCAGGTGGCTCTTCCGAAAACTTTAAAAAATTATTTTGAAACATTTAAATTTTAATTCCTTAGAATATTTTAACTTTAGTATCAGATGTCATCTTTTATGTCACGTGAAACCTTTACTGAAAGGCAGGGTGTGCGTGAGTGCACATACGTGTGCCCGCCACGTGTGTGTTTATAATTTCACAGACGGCACTTACTGATGCGGTTTAGCTCAGTCTAACTGGAAAGAAACAAATTTTAGTTTAAAATGATGGTTAGGCAGTCTGACATTTAAACTGCCAGTAACTGATGAAAAAGTCAGTGTAAAGATGGAGTGGGCCCTCGTCTGTCACAGCTCTCGGAGGAGAACTGCATCTCGTGTTGCTTCTTTGCAGGTGAGAAGGAAACGGTTGACTGTTTCTGTGCCCATTTTGAAGAACAGCTGAAAATTTACAAAAAACAGGTGGGCTTTGATTTGTAGTAAGAAAAATTTCCTTATATGTAGAATTAAAACCCAATGTACTGTTCGTAACCAAACAGTCACATTTAGCACGAAGGTTAAGAACGCTAAGCTAAGGATACTCTTACTGTTCCTAGGAATGATGGTGGCGCCTGTTGCCTCGGGTTGTTTGGAGGAGGCGGATTAGATGCTGTGGGCCGTTGCAGACTAAGCTAGGCATCTCAGTGCCGTGCCCTGCTGGAGGGATGGTTGACTTATGTCTTCCTGCATTTCTCTTCTCTGTCCACATGCTCACACGTGGAAATGCAATTCAGTCAAGCAGAATGGCTTGAAAAGCACTAAATGGAAAGCAAGTTCAATAATTTTGATACATGATTAAGATATGAAAGTCAGTAATGCTCTTGTCTATTAGGGATGACCAATCTGACTGTGTCATAGTCATAAAATGACATAGGAGCCATTTTAAATGGCCAGCCTGGTCTATATACAGAGTTCCAGGCCAGCTAGCCAGGCAATGTAGTGAGATCTTGTCTCAAAGAAAAAAGCAAACCAACAACAAGCAAACAAACAAACAAAACTCAGGAAAGCAGAATACCGCATGAAAGGAAAGAAAATCCGGAGTTCCCGGTTCGTGGACAGAAAGACTCAGTAGTGAATGACTTCAGCTCTTCCCAAATTAGTGTTTAGATTTCATGTAGTTTCAACCATAGTCTCATAGGGAGTAGGAAGAAAAAAAATAGGAAGGAACAAACAATTATTGTTTAATGATCATATTGAAATTTAGGTTTTATAATAGTTAAAGGCAAGTGTTTGCTTTTATAATGAAAATTCAAATATTGTTAGCAGCAACGTAAGTTGGCACAGGCATTTTGAATGTTATTATTAATTAAAATAAAATATGCTGATATATATAACTATACTTTTCTTTTTGATACCCACTGTCCATTTAACATACATAAGAACAGTTTTGAGAAAGGTCTGGATCTGGATGTGAAAGGTTAAGCACTGAAGATTTCAGGGGACAGCATAATGTCTTTGACTTTAAGTCATAAGCAGGATTTACAAAAGCCGTTACCTTATCTTTCTGTGTTTTGATGTGTAATTGTCTATCACATTTTATTTGTCATTTAATAAAGGGCAATGTCCATCTAGGAAACAGTTATTTTGGGGTTGGAGTTCTGGAGTCTTTGATGGAGTTAAAGAATATATAGATACTTTTCCAAAATATTGTTATATTCAACTCTTCTAAAATTTAACAGACATTTAAAATAAGTTGGAGAAATAAAGGGGGAAAACCTTTTATTTTCACTCCTATAGAACCTCATGTTAAGCGTCATAGAAATGCCTCCTCCAAGTTCAGAGACTGACTGTCAATGAGAAGAAAGTGAGACTAAAGCACCACTTTTAAATGAAAAAAAAAAAAGAATATATAGATATAGTTTTCCTTAGTTATGAAAAAAGATAAAATAGATGTAAATATTGTAACTTTTACTTGATAACTGTTTTGTTATATGTAATTTTGCTATGTTAAAGTTAAAGCCTTTCCTTTTTGTTTAAACAGAAAAAGGGGAAATGATGGAGGAAGGTCATTGGTTAAGTAATAAAGAAACTGCTTGGTCTCATAGGTTAAAACATAGGTGGGAGGGGTAAACAGAACAGAATGCTGGGAGGAAGAGGAAGTGAGCTCAGAGGCCGTGCTCCCCTCTCCCAGGCAGACGCATGAAGCTCAGACCCAGGATGGACGTAGGCTAGAATCTTTCCTGGTAAGACTGGTGCTACACAGATTACTAGAGATGGGTTGATCGGGATATGAGAATTAGCCAGTAAGGGCTAGAGCTAATGGGCCAAGCAGTGTTTAAAAGAATACAATTTGTGTGTTGTTATTTTGGGGCATAAGCTAGCCAGGCGGCTGTGAGCCGGGGCGGCAGGAACGCAATCCAGCCGCTCCTCTCAACATTGGAGAGATCCCTCAGTGATGAAGAGAGTGTACTGCTCTGCAGAGGACCTGGGTGTTGGTCCCAGCACCCACATCAGATGGCTCACAACCTGTGATTCCCCCTCCAAGAGAGAGCTGACATCTCTGAGCTCCCTGTGCAATTGTGTTCACATGCACAAGCCCCACACAAACACACACAAGCACACATAATTTAGGAAGAAAGAGAAAGAAAGGAAGACATGTGGTAGCACACACTTTTAATACCAGCACTCAGGAGCTAAAGGCAAGAGGATCTCAGTGAGTTTGAGGCCAGCCTGGTCTATAATAGTGAGTTCCAGTACTAAATAGCAAAACCTTGTCTCAATAAACAAAACCAAACCAGAAATAATTGTTAAAAAAATAAAAGTAATGACTGGGGAGATGGCTCCATGGGTAAAGTACACGATGCACAAGTATGACATGGAGCTGGGCGTGATCCCCAGAGCTCACGTGCAGCCAGGCACAGTGCCATGTGTCTGTAGTCTCTGTAACATCCATGTGACACATGGATTCATGTAGGCAAAACGCACATAAAGTGAATCTTTAATGGTTAGGATTTGGTCTTATATCTTACAATGTGTTTAAATGTCTTCTAAACCCATTAATGACGTACATTCCAAAAGAAAGCTGGACAAAAGAATTGAACAGAATCTATGTAAAAGGATAGTTTACAAAGTCATAAAAGCACGCGAGAGGTGCGTCAGCTCACTAGTCATCCGGGAAATGCAAATTAAAACCATGACTCACACACTGCAGTGGCTGAAGGAATAAAGATGAGAAACATCAAATTTGGGAAAGGATGGAGGCAATTAGCACTTCAATAGGAAAACAAGTCTACAAATGTGTTCAGTCAAGGGTGCTTATGCTTATGCAAGAATACTCGCTGTGGCGTCAGAACACGGCGCATTCAGGGAGGCATATGGGATCGGATGTGGTCAGGAATGATTGGTCTCACTCTGCATTTGAGTCCCTTGATAGTGTGAGTTGATTCATGCGTGAGTCATAGTCCTAATTGTAAGTAGCATTAAAAAAGAATAAACCACATTTCAAAGTAACACAAAATTGAGAAAAGGAGCAATACTGAGGTGTGCAAGCCGAGGGAACAATGTCTTCCCACACTCGTTCTCTGCTTCCTGTTGCCTCTGACATCGATTTCTAGGTGTGTGTACTGAGCAGACACTTCCTGGTTTCCAGCAGTAGCCTGGCAGTGTTTATTTATCTGTGTCCCTCTGGGTAATTGCTCTGTGGGGTGAAGGGCCCGGGGTCAGTGTGACTCAGCCGTGGTGGCAGCATTGCTCTTGCCTGTGACTGGTTTGGGCTGGGACTGTTTGACAGCGATGTATGGTGTGGGCAGAGCTTCCTGCTCTTATAATAAAAGGTATCCCAGGACCTACAGTGCCCCGCGGTTGTCGCGTCTGTATTTGATGGAGGACTCTTACAGCTGTATCAGGACTGTGAATGAACCGGCAGGATGTTTATCCAGTGTGCTGCTAGGGAAGAAACAATGGAGAGAGTGGCACAATAGTGAAGGTGGAAAGAGCCAGTGCCCAGGGGCTTCTGGGATCCCTGAATTCAGCTCCTCTGCTTCCGGACTCGTTCTGAGATTTGAGTCGGTGGTTTATTTTTTGTAGCAAGAATTACCTGACACCAGCACATTCACAATGGAAGCACGGTCACAAAAAACTCTGTGTGTATTCTTTTCTGCAGTGGTCTTGTTTTATTTAAGATCTCTGGCTGCCAGCCTTTTCCCCATTGACGGACCTTCAGGAAATACTAGTACTTTTTGCTATTGCAAGAAATCATCAAGCTGGGAATGGTGGTGCATGTCTGTAATCCCAGAACCTGGGAGGTTGTGGAGGGGATTCCAAGGTTTAGTTCAGCCTAGGCTACTCAGCAAGTTCAAGGTCTGGACTACTTAAAAATTCAGTTTGAAAAAAATAGTAAGTTGGGTGTGGTGACACACTTGTTTAATCCATCACTCCAGAGGCAGAGGCAGGTGGATCTCTCTGAGTATGAGATCAACTTGGTCTACATAGCACGTTCCAGGACAGCCAGTACTACATAGTGAGACCCTTTCTCAAAAGAAAAGAAAAAAGGGAAAGAAAAGGGAAGACCAACAAAATCAGCTGAACGAGAATGGAGAGCTGGCAAGATGTCCCAGAAGGCTGTCTAGAGCCCATGTACAGTGGAGGGAGAGAACAGTCGGCAAAGCTGCTTTCTTAACTCCCCCCACCCAGCACCTCGACATGTGCATGCCCCCTAATATTAAATAGTAATAGTAAATACAATAAAACATCTTTCATGCTTATTTAGGGTACACAATACATTTCTACACAATACATTTGTGAGAGCAAGTTTGTTGAATTAAACAGTATATACATTTGAAGTTGTTATTTACCATTCAGTTGCTTTCAGAGATACCACACCAGGGCCAGTGAAAGTCCACAGAGCTGCCCTCTGATCCCTGCCTTGTGCACTACGATGTATGTACCCATCCACCCATCCAACATAAACAATAGTAAATTAAAAACGTTTTTAAGAGGTCATACAACTTATACTCCCAGAAGCAGTGTTTCTATTTTCCTGTGTTCACCAATGCTTTCTGTGTTTAGTACTTAAATTTACTTGTATGTAGGTAAAAACTTTTATATCTTAACATGTGCATTTAGCTATTAACAGGATTATAGTATCAAGCTTACTGTTTTGTTTACTTAATTTACCTAGATTTTTTCTTATTCTATTTATGGTACTCTATAAATTGTTGATTTTGTGTGGTAGTTTTTCATGAGAGTTCCTTGGTTTTTGTTTTTTGTTTCTTGGGTTTTTTTTTTTTTTTTTTTTGACCCTTGCTTATAATGTCACTTATACACAGATTTAAATTTTTCTGTTATCACATCTGTATTTTTCTTTGTCTTCTAAATTTTATATGATGCTTAGAAGGTCATGCTCCCACCTACAGCTGTGAAAAATTACTCTTTTTAAAATATAACTTGAAGAAAAACATGCAGGTCATTGATGCATCTAGAATTTATTTTGTGTTTCACTAAAAAGATGTAGGGTGCTACTGTAATTCTCTTTTCCTTATGGACAGTTTTCCCAGTGCCCCTGGCATAGTCTTGTGTGCTTGTCCCCGGTGGTGTGCTTAGTATATCCATCACTGCTCCGTGGACTCAGGTCTTTGGCTGCCAGCCTGTTCTCTTGAGTCGTTTGTGTGTTTGTTCTACAGGCTCGTCTGCTATGTAGTATACATAGAATTGCTGCAAATGGGGAAAATTCCTCTGCGTTTATTGCTTTCCAAATTTTTTTTCCCCAAATATTTACTCTTTCAGATGAACTTTAGAATTAACTTGTCTTGCCTATGGAAAGATTCTGGTTGAATTTTGATTGGGATTGTTGAATATATAGATTAATCTAGGGAGACTTGACATCTTTGCAATATTGTACCTTGAGATTCAGCAACATGGTAGATATTTCCATCTGTTCAGGTTTTCTTTTACATATTTCAGTAGTTTTCCAATGTTTAGTTTGTAGATTTTTAAAAAATTATTCTGCCTATTTAAAATACCTACTGTTTGGGCTGAAGAGATGGAGGTCCAGAAGGATCCAAGTCAGTTCCCAGCACCCAAATAAGGCAGCTCACAGCTGCCTGTCACTCCAACTCTAGGGAGATCTGATGCTTTGAGCCCCTGGAAGTGTAAACACACACATATACACATGATAAAAAAAAACACTTTAAAAAATATTAAGAAACATGTTTTACTTTGTGCTTTTGTTGGTTAGTGCAACTATATAGATCTATCACCATTGATGTCAATAGTTCTTATAAAACTAAATTTATACAGCAAATAATTTTATGGGAAAATTGATGCTTGAGTGGATTGATTTCTAAGCACAACTAGAAGATATTTGCTAACTGAAATTCCACATTACGATTCTGAGGTCTAGCTGGCCTTAGCTTTCTCTTGCCCTTCGTTCTCACAGGTTATTATTAACCTGGTCGACCAGGCTGGACGGGAGAAGATTATTGGCGATGCTTACCTGAAGCAGGTGCTGCTCTTCAACAACTCGCAGCTCACCTACGTCTCCTTTGACTTCCACGAGCACTGGTAAGGCGTCTTCCTGGGAGGCTGCTATTGCTAAAGGGACGTCCTTCTCTGCGCTCTCCTGGGAAGGACAGTGTCCCATCCTCCCTGCTCAGAAGGGAGAGGTGTAATGTTCACTTGCTGCTACGTGTTTGTGATGAGGCCTTTGAGGAAACTGTTGCTGAAGTATTTACAGTCTTTCTGTTCCGAATCGTATGGAGAACACAAGTTCTGGTTTTGGCTTTGATCACAGCTGCTGGGGGACTATAGAGCATTCGTAGCAGAGGTGGTAGAATGTCCTTACCCTGCTGGCTGTCTTCAGCAGGAGCAGTGCTCCTATCCCTCTAGATAAACTCCTGGTGTGCTTGATTGATCAGCAGGAAGTGAGTTCTGTTACTGACACCCTCATGTATTCTGACATGTCATGTATTGACATGTATTCTGAGAGCAGGGGCTTTGGCTGCAGTCCCCTTCTGCCTGGGAGTTTGCCTGGGTTGGAAAGAGTTGTAAGGAAAGAGGCGTCTGTGCGGACTGCTTCAACTCCTCTGTGTTTGTACTTATGCCTTCAAGTGCAGGTTTGCTGTAGAATTCCCTAGTATACAGTAGTACTGAAATCATGTATATGTGGTGACAGTTCTTTTTAAGATTTCTGAGCCACTTTAAAGATCCTAAGAGGCTGGCAAGATGCCTCAGGATAAAGATGCCTGCTGCCAAGCCTGTTGACCTGAATTTGATCCCTAAAATCTATATGGTAAAGAGAACCAACTCCTGAAAGTTGTCCTCTGACCTCCTCGTGTGCACACCATTGCATGTGTGCCCCACATCCCAAGCATGCACGCACACAGAATAGGTAAATAAAAATGATTTAAATATAAAATCTAATATCTTAAGGGTTTGGGGGTTTTTGTTTTTGAGATAGAATCTCACTGTATAGTCCAGGCTAGCCTCAAACTCACAGAGTTGTCTCTGCCTCTCGAGTTCTGGGACTAAAGGTGTGCGCTACCATTCTCAGCTCTTGTTTGTTTTAATGCCCCTGGGGATTGACACCTATGCATGCTAGGCAATTGCTCTACCACTAAGCTACACCCTCAGCCCTTTTTAGCCTAAGTATATTAAAAAATAAGTCTGTTATAATACTAAAGACTGGTTTTGTTTGTTTTTTTGGGAAATGGGTTTTAGCCGAGGAATGAAGTTTGAGAATGTTCAGATCCTGACGAATGCCATTTACGACATTATTCTTGACATGAAGTGGTGTTGGTATGTATCTGTACTTGTTGTTTTCCTGTACCTGTGGAGAGACACTGTGACCAAGGCAACTTATTAAAAAAAATTTAATTTGGAGTTCATGCTTCCAGAGGGTTAGAGCCCATGACCATCATGGCAGGGAGTACGGCAGCAGGCAGAGGAGCAGGCGTGACATGATGCTAGGATAGTAGCTGAGAGCTTACATCAGAGCCGCAGACACATGGCAGAGGGCAGCTAACTGGGGATGGCTTGGACTTTTGAAACCTTAAAGCCCACCTAGTGACATACCTCTTTCAATAAGGCCACCTCCTCAGCCTTCCCAAATAGTTCCACTACCTGGGAACCAGACACTCAGATATATGAGCCTGTGAGTCCATTCTTGTTCAGACCAGCACAGTATTTCATAAAAAGTTGTTTTGAGCTTGCTCTGTGAAGTCGTGTGTTCATCTAGCACAACTGAAACATCAGCACAGGATGGTTATGCTGACAATTCAGTCTCCTTCCTTTCCTGAGTGCCACCAGTAGACTAGGAAGTGCTCTCCGTGAATGGGGAACACGTCAGATGGTTGGGAAATGACGTGGAGTGTTGCCACTGCATTTAAAGGACTTAAGTTTGTCCCTCTCATTCTCTGTGGCTTCCATTTTGTCTTTCTCTTTGGCCATCTCTCGTATGGGAAGGAAAGCTTAAAGGCATTCAGTTTTTAGGCATTTTGAGATTAAAGAGAAGGAAAAGATGCCCAGACTCCAGGAGGTAGGTGTAAGGAGGGGGAACAAGGTCTTAAAGGCCAGGAGAGAAGAGCTGAGTAGACATTAAGGCTACATGCATGGGTGGCCTGAGAACTTGGAGGGCAGAGCCTTACTGCATGACTCCACGGCAGGTGGAGAAGCTGCTTAGTGTGTTTTAGATAGTTCCACTTGGACTTAGAAAGGGAGGAACAAGACGGGCTTTAAAAGCCTCCTGGTTTATAACCACCTACAAATGTGGTCACGGCAGCTCTGCCGTCTTTAGAGGGAGGGGAGTCGCTTGTTCTCTTGGTTCCTCCTGTCTTGCTTTTGAGTTTTCAGATGGGTGTAGCAATACCTCACCGCCAGGGTTTTCTGTACCTCAGCAGTGGAGTCTGCAGAGCACGCCTGCAGTATACGGCTCTGCCTGCGCCCTTGCCAGCTAGTGCTGCTGCTGCTGCGTGTTTCTAAGAGTTTGGAGTTGTAAATTAATCCCATGCTTCTTTTAAAGGGTCGATCAAGCTGGGGTAATATGTAAGCAAGAAGGAATTTTCCGAGTTAATTGCATGGACTGCCTAGATCGCACCAACGTGGTCCAAGCTGCCATTGCGCGAGTGGTCATGGAGCATCAGGTAATCCGGAGTCCCTTTGATTCCAAATGTTCACCTTAAAATAGTTTGCACTTCGTGCGTGAGTAAATAGTGCAACATTGTTTGGAGGTCCAAATGTTTTGTGGAACATTTTTTAGCATGTGAATATTTGTCTTGCATAAAAACCTGGAAAATATAACTTAGTAGAAGTAGGTGTAGTGGCATTTTCTTAAATACTCAACTTGCAAATGTTTTAAATCTGTTTGGGGTATTATGTAGTTTTTTTTTTTTCTCCATTTTTCGCTGAGCTTCAAACCCACTTTTTTATATTTTGGGCTGTGATTTTGTGTTTGGCCAGCACCGGCAGGATGGTAGGGTGGGGCTGGTGGAGGATGGGAACAGGCAAAATATAATAGTAGTAGTAGCCTATATATTAAAAAATTACAACAGTATAAACATTTAGTTATATTTATCAGTTATAGTAATTGGTAGTAGTACTTCATTTAATCATAATTGTTTTTGAAACGGGATCTCTATATGTACCTCTAGCTGTCCTGGAATCTACAGTGATCCTCCTGCCTCTGCCTTCTGAGCGCTGGGATTAAAGGTGTGCGCCACCATATCTGTCACGGGTTTAGTTTTTAAAAAATGAGCTGGGCATGGTGGCACACTTCTATCATCTCAGCATTCATGAGCCTGAGTCCAGAGGATTCAGAACTCTAGGCAAGCCTGGGCTACATAGCAAGACTGTCTTAAAAATAAAGTCTGAGGGAACCAGTGAAGTGCTCGGTGGGTAAAGTACTTGCCACCAAGCCTGAAAACGTGAGTTTGCTCTCTGGGACACACATGGTGGAAGGGAGTACTGGCTCCCAAAAGTTGTCCTCTGACTGCCCAATGTTCTTATAACATGAACACCCTCCTCCACACACACACACCTCTAGTTAAGGAAATATAGTCTGAAAACACTTCTTTTATAGAGGAACCTAACCTATATGGCAGCTTGTTCTCTTTCTCTGTAGAATACATTTCCTGCTCTAGTTTCTCATTCATCAACTACCCACCATTCTGTTTATCTTAGCTTAAAAAACTCGGTGTGATGCCCCCAGAACAGCCGCTCCCTGCAAAATGCAATCGGATCTACCAGATAATGTGGGCTAACAATGGTGACTCTATCAGCAGACAGTATGCCGGGACAGCTGCTCTGAAGGTAACTGTGTAGTGAGTGGGTATTGGGGATCATTTTATCTGAGGTTCTAAATCAATCTTGCTTTTGATTAAAAGGTATCTGGGCTCAGATGATGGGTCTGTTACTTGATTTCTTTCTGGAATGTCCGACTATTGCAGGAGCCCAACCATTAGATCAGGGCATAATGGCCTGTGTGGACATGATGGGAGTGTACTGTCTCTGGAGAAGATTGTCCTTTCTGAGGCCCCACGTTGCTACATCTTCCAGTTTTTCAAAGGAATCTGGAAATAGGAAATTTTTATTTTATTTTGAGACAGGGCCTTACTATATAGCCCTGACTGTCTTCGAATTCACTACATGGTTCTAGCCATCCTCAAACAGAGATCCTCCTGTTTCTGCCTCCCTATGTACCACCATGCCTGGCCATGCATTCATGTTAAAGCTGCATACAAATAAGACATGCCTACTGGGACCTGACCTATCCTGGGATACTTTTGTCTGCTTTCAGTGTGAATCTTAATCTTGCCTCTTATAAAGTATGACCTTGGACAAGACACCTGTTCGGTTCTGCTAGTTGTCCAGTGGAGATAATAGGCCCTCTGAGACAGACTGTTATATGATATGTGGGCTTGGACTGTTCCCTGACACAGTATGTGCTTAAGGCATGCTGTCTTGGTTTTTGTTTAATGGGTTGAGTGTTTTGAAGAGCCTACAGAACTGTTCTTCATAGAACCTTCAATGTAAATACTGTTGCTGGCAACTGGATTCTCAACATGTGGATACTCTTCCTGGGCAGTAGGAAGTGGCTGAGTGTTTAAATTAGGTTTATGTTGATTTTTCTCGAAGCTACTATTTCATCTAGGACCATATCTCTTCTAACAAAATGTAGCTTGTTTGGTGGAGCACTGGCCCAGAATGTGTGAGGCCCGGAGCTGATTCCTAGCAAAACCCAAGCAAACAAAGTAACTCGGACCAAGGACTAATAGACATCTGCTTCTGTGGGTTCTGGTTAAGTAATAAATATAAAAACTTGTCCTATTTTTATGACAGTGCCTCTATGGTACTGTACACCCTCAGCTGGAATTACAAAAGTGAGCCATCTCATCTGGCCCCATGTATGTATGTGTGACTTTA